TTTGTTTGGTAAATATACACTGCAATATATACTCTGTACACTGCCACAATATGTTTTTCTAGAAATTCAATGTCTGAAATACACTGCCACAATTATTACAAGGGGGGTTTAAGGAGGTGTGTATCAAAAGAGTTGTGATTGTTAAACATTCAAACAATGACACTTATTAATAACTGTGTTCCCATCCTACTACATTTAAAAGGATGTGTTATTTTTTCCAATGTTTATGGAAGGTAGTTCAATGTCAGATAGAAAAGTAGTTCAGCATCATCCGCAATAACAATAGGCGGTGGACACATCGCAACAATGTATGAGAAACGAATGTCATTTTTAGACCAATCCATATGCATGTCTGCTTTAACAGTGTCAATGAGTGAGTTTAGAGAGCAGTCATTAGGGACATGAATTACAGTGTCGTACTTCGAAGTGAAGTTTCCACGAGTATCTCATGCTCCATCGACACGCACCAATACCTTAATGTTTGAATCCATGATTGCAGCACCTTGAACAGAGAAAATGAAATGGTCAGATAGGTTCGGAAAAGTGCCGTGTGAAGTGATTAAGCAATTGTTTTTAGAAAAAGGACAACGTGAATGAGTCCTTGAGCATGTAATTCTTGACATATTCATTCGGCTGCGGTGAGAATAATGCAAGTGCAAAGGAGAACATATTACTTTGAAAGTGATGATTTTTTAGGTGCCAAAATAAAGTGCAGCTAACATTAGGAATTCTATCCCATTAACCTTATAGATCAAGATGTCATTATAGGAAGGCAAAATTAAATAAAATTGAAAATCAGTAATTTAGAAGGGGGCATTGCGGGGTAATGTCAATCCGTGCTATTATAGTGCAAAAATCAAATTTTTCTCTCTAACAAAACTTAATTAGGTTGGGTCAGTTGGAATTGGACAATGTATATGGTACTGGTCTGGAACAGAAACAAATCATTTTTCAAAAAACCACAAGCATTGGTAGATAAAGAAAAATCTTTTCACTATCCCGTTAGTTGGCTACACAATAAGCATTGCACTTTTAAAAAAAGAATCAGAATTTCAGTATTGGGCAGCGATGGGAAAAATAGGCCAGATATGACATATATACTGAACCTCAAACAAAATGTGAGTGTATCGGTTGAGGCAGTGGGCGACGAATGCTTCCGGCGAATCTCTGCAGCTATTAATTTGAATGCTCCGGTTGAATTTGGACTTGGATTGTAGAACATGAACCCTAGAGTGTGTCTGGCGCTGAATCCGGCAAAGACGATGCCTGTTGATCTGTGGAATCGGATGTGGCGGAATGATGTTCATTGTTGATTGTTCAGCACCGTAATAGTGAGAAAGTTTGTAACGGATGATTAACTGCCCCCTGAATTTACGCAGGTGAGGGGGAGTGCGCTAAATGGCTCAATCTCTCAAGTTGCGCAGTTGACGGATGAAACCAATCTTGAAAGGGTAAAATGGGGATATTAATCTTGAGAAACACGGTTGAGGTGCTATAAAGGTGTAAATAGGATGGGAGTGCTAGATATGTACTCCTTATTTTCTATTTCTTAATGGTCCTATATTGGATGATTTCTATTTTATCAAGTATTTGATAAAATAAAGTATTCTTGTCACCTCTTGTTTTGTAGATCTTTTGACGTAGTTTTTTAATATGTAATTTTTATAGCTTATTGATATATCAATTTGTAAATAAAATGATTTCAAAAAGTAGGAAATTTTACTCCGTAACCCGCAATTTGTAATCAAATTGAGGACCGGAGGGAGTATCACATATGGTGAAACAAAAATGCTTATTTTTGTCAAAAATGCTAGTCTTTTATTGTCTCCCATTCTTGATTACTCCGTACGTATTTGTTTGCTTTTACTCCTTCCGTCCTAAAACTTTCTTTCCACTCCCCTTTTTTCTCCGTCCTAAAACTACCTTTTCATTAGAAAAAAAGATAAAAAATGACATTAATACCCTCATGTATTTACACCAGTTATCTTCTGACTCTATATTTTGAATGATTGCAAAAAAAATTTGCAAAAAATCTTTTTTAAGGAGGGTAAAATTTGAAGTCAAAGCCAAAAATTAAAAATGGGGAAAAGTCAAACTGGGAAGAAAGTTTTAGCACGCAAGGAGTAATTTTTTGAAATTTACCTAAATAATACTAAAACATAATGATTTTTCCAATATAGGACCATATGTTTTTATTTTCCAATGTAGGACTTTTGGTCATTATCATGTATCTATTATTCAATTAAATATCTAACATTACTGGACATTATTCCTCTCACTAGGTCATTATTAAGTCTTATTTAAGGAATAAAAAAATTTAAATCCTACATTAGGAAAGTCATTATGTTTTAGTCCTATTTAGTGAAAAATTTCACTAATTTTTTACTTAGAGTATTTGTTCATTTTTTATCTTTTGTAATCAATGTTTTTATATTTTAATTTATAATCAAATAGAATATATATTTTATATTAATTAGATAGAATAATATCTTTAAAATATTTAATAAAATGAATCTAAAAAAATGTTTTGTATCAATATGTAATATTATTTTTATTCAATTTGTAGTCAAAGTTTACCAATTGTGACAAAAAAATAAAAAGTAGACAACTATTCAGAAATGGAGGAAGTATTTTCTTTTTATGATGTTACAGAGTATTATATTTTTAAAAAATTTAAAAATGATACTCAAGTATTATGTTTTGGCAAAAATGACACTATACTTTTTTAAAAATAATACTCCCTCTATCCCTGAAAAACTAGATTCATAGTCGTGTGGAGCACGGAAAATAATTAATGGCAATATATTAAATACTCCTTTTGTCCATAAATATTTGTCATACTTGTATTCTCGAGGCAAAATGTCAAGTTTTTTTAATTCATTTTATTTACATATGGTATAGAAATAAAAAGTAAAATTTACATATCAAAAAACTACATGAAAAATTATTCGAAATAAGAGGTGTCAAGAATATTTTATTTTATCAAATAGCCAATGAAAACGTAGAAATAAACAAAAGCTCTCGAGACGGTCGAAAAAGTAAATGTTGTAAATATCATGGGACAGATGGAGTATAAAATCTCATAAAATAAGTGTCAAAATACAAATTTGAATACAATATTGAGTTAAACATAAATTCATTATGACCTAATTAGTTTTTTTATTTTAGAATACACAAATACATTTTTTTAAAAACCTTATATAAATGTTTAAAGTATATACGGAGACTGAAGTATTTCATTACTTCCAAAAACATTGTCTTACTATTTTTAGAAATCACCCTAAATAGGACTAAAACATAAAGAAAAGTAACAAAATAGAACTTTCATGTTATTTTTTTCGAAATAAGACTTTGCATTACGGTAATGTGACATTGTCCATGAACACATTACTATACTTTTTTGGTAATATACATGACCATGTTTGGTAATGTAAGTCCTGTTTCGTGAATAAAAAGATGTAGATATTCAATGTTTTATTCTTAATTTGATCTTTCTCCCTACTTTTATTTCGAGGATATGCTCAACATTGTAAGGTATGAAGTTGTTCAAACTTCAAAAGAATTGGAGTTTGGAATAGGTGAAAAAGAAAAGTAAATTTTGGCCCACAAAAAAGAGTTAAAAAAATCACAAAATAAGAACAAAACATAATCCTTATCTAAAATTAGGTGTTTGATATTTTTATTCCAAAAATAAGAATTTACTACTAATTTATTTTTCAAAAGGAGCATTACCTTCGTTTCAATAAATTTTTCTTATTTTGACTCTTTGTGATTAAACTGGGATACTTTTGACAACAAACAGTTAATTTTTTTTAATTATAATATGAATTCAATATAATTATATTCATATTAAAAAGTAAATTTACATATCAAACTTCTATAACATTTATTTATTTAAATTATATTTAATTTATGATCAGAAGTCTCACAATTTGATAAAAAAAGTCAACATATAAACTTATTAGGACATAGATAATACATACGGAGTATCTCATTATAGAAATCATCCTAAATGAAGTAAAACATAGAAAAAAATAACAAAGTAGGAGTTTCATTTTTTATTCCCGAAATAGAACTTTGTACTGTGGTGATGTGGCACTATACATGTGAACATCACTATATTTTTTTGTAATGTACATGACCATATTTAGTAATGTAAATACTACGTATATTTTAACTCCTGTTTTAGAAATAAAAACATTAAAAATCACCCTAAATAAGACTAAAACATAGAAAAAGTACAAAAATAACTTTCTTGTTTTTTCCTGAAATGAGACTTTGCATAGTGGTAATATGGAACTGTAGGTGTGCACATTACTATACTTTTTTTGTAATGTACATGACCATGTTTGATAATGTAAGTCCTATTTCGGAAATAAAAACATGAAAGTCTTATTTTAGTATATATCTTTAATGTTTTAATCCTACTTTGATCTTTCTACCTAAAAACACGGAACTCTTATTTTAGTACATTTTCAATATTTTACTCTTATTTTAGTATTTTTCTCATTTCATTAAGAACAAATTCACTTTCGATTTTTAAGAATAGTACTAGCAAATAGACTTTAATCATAACAACGCGAAAGATAACACCTGATGGGAAATAATATGTGGCTCGATCCACAGTTCGCCAGTTTCTAATTATTTTCAAAGATTACTCAAATCGGGTCTGTTTAGTAAAATGAAGAAATAAAAGAATGTTCCTCCGAAGATGCTCTCCCTCCGTCCTATAAAATAGAGGGTTCCCCTCAGGGAGGCCAATTTTCTCCCTTACTCCACTGCCATCTCTTACTTTCTCTCTCTCTAAATAATTTTAGAACGTATTTCTCTTCTTTTTCAAGAGCTCAAAAGCTCCATTAATGGCTTCCTAACTTAAATCATGTATCGTGTACAATCCCCCGATATTAATAAAAATCTCTCGCTGACAAGGTACCACAAAAAAAGCTTGTGGTTTTCTCCCAATTTAGGTTTCCACGTCAAAATTCCTATGTTTATATTTTGGTGTACTTTTTAAACACTAGTTTATCATTTTTACTTGGCTAAAAACAATGTACAAGTTAAAATTTATAATATCATTTTGGTGCTATCCGTGGGACCCGAGCAAACAGCCAGATCTGGTTATGTGGTTCATCTTGCTGAAACAAAAAGTAGTAAAGAGGAAAAAGGGGAAGGAACCAGACCAGACCCGTTCTGACCCGAAATTTTAACAGTTCTTCAGGTTTGGGTCACAAAATCAATGTTCAATATCTGCTAATTTCAGGTCGGGTTTCGGATTAGTAATGGATAAGATTAACTTTTGTTACCATCCCCCAATCATGCGATTCAAGTTCTATAACTCTTCTCATCCCTTGTAAAAGCCATTCTCTAATGATTTCCAATCTATCTGAAGGCATGGTGAATGTTTCTGGTGCGAAGCGGAAGTGTATGCCTCCCACCTTGGAAAGCGGGCCTCGGTCCCGGTAATCGATCTGACTTTCGTTTTCCAATTTAAAATTCTATTTTCTTTTTCCAATTTAAAATTGTAATTTATTGTGTGTCTCACCTTTAGTGTGTTCATCCATTGCATGATAGAGCTAGGGTTTTGTCTTGAAACTCGTTTTTCATACCTAGCTTTGTTTGATTTTGCGCAAAGCCTATGTTTTTTCTTTAAAATTACATATAAATACAACTTTCTGTCCTCTTTTTGTGGCCAGCAATTTATCAGACGAAGAAGAGAAGGAGCTTCTGGAGGGGTTGCTACATCCGCTAACCAAAATTACTGATGAAGATAAAAAAATGTACATGTCACTTCTACGTCCAAAAGTTCAAGTGAAACCACCTGTATTGCAGAAGAAGCCTAAGCATAACTGTGGAGTTCAAATACGCACTATCCCTGATTTCCTTTATATGCCAGTTCTTGATCAAGGGCCAACTGCTGAACCTACATACCTCAAAAACAGAAGAGAGTAACGTCCCTGAACCATTGTTTCTAATCACTTTGTCATCTTCTCATTCCACACACACACATAGAGTTTCCAAATCTTAATTTGTGATGTAGTGGGGTGACATGCCTCTCTTAAGTTATAATTATGGACTTTCACTTTCTTAATTGGATGATGTCCAAATATGGAGTTGGATCTTTGTTTTGGTGACCAGGCAAAATGACCCAAACCCTTGGGAGAAGACAAGCGGGCTCACTCAAAAAGAACTACAACACAGGAACCTGCACTTGCGATGGGCATTGGCTCCTCTTGCTCGCTTCAACCGAAGACATGTACCAAGCATGATCATTTGCAAAACTTTGTCTTTTTAAATTGTGCTCTCTTCTTGTTTTTTCCCTTTTTTGTTTCGCATCTTATATTGCCCACTTATCGAAGTAGGTATGGTTTCTTGGCTCTTGCAGTCTACACATTATAAGCTTGTGGAAGTCATTAACTGCAATGCGTTTCTACTTCCTGGATGCAAGACATGGATTCATTGTGCTTTCAAAGCTGCAACCGAAACTTCTTCTGTGCCAGAACTCTTTTTTGTTGAATTTTACCAATACGAGCTTCAAAAGTATCACTTCCTGAGTGTTACTCGTATAACCAATCGTGAGACCTTTTAAACTTTGTTTGTTCTTAGTCTACACATTACAGCACAACAGAACATTGTCCTCTTCATATATGTGTGTGTGTGTGTGTGTGTTATGATTTGATTTGTTTTTTTAGGCATCAAGACTACATGTGATGACTGCCGGTATTGCAGAGGGAAGGGGATTCCTCATGCCGTCAACAAATTCACCCAGGGGCAGAAGTACTATGGCGGGCCTATTTTACGCTCCATGTGGCTCACTTAAAATGTTATGTTTGTCCCGTTCAATGTCAATGCATCATGGATGCTATGATATTTACTACTTTTTGTGTGTTTTTTTTGTTGTTGTGGGTCTTCATGTTAGAAATGTCAAACAAAGGAATTGATTGTAATATCTTGATAATATCCTTGATTGGAATCAAATTACCAATCAAGATATTTGATTAGGTTCCAATCACCTTCCTTAATTGTTCTCTTTATATAATTTGTAATATTTATAGACACCAAGTGTGATGTATTCAAATAAGATGAATATTATGCTGTGAATTCATTTTAATATTTCTAATATGGTATCGGAGCCATCATTCGATCAAACAATTGAATGAAACGCAGCATTCATCATATACCATAAAAAAAAATGTCCGATAAAACTCCTCAAACGGGCAGTTCCATAAACACAGAGGAATCTGACCCGAAAAATCAGCCGATCAATCTTGCACAAATTCTGGAAATTCTTCAAAATTTTCAGAATTTGGCACCCAAGGCCGAACCTATCGAGAGCTCTTCCAATCAGCCATTAAATATGGCGGAAAAACTCAACGATAGGAACTACGCCATTTGGGCGCGCAAAATGAGTCTGGCGTTGGATGGGAGAGGGCGGCTCAAGCACATCACTGCCACACCTCTCAAATCTGATGACCCCAAATTTATCAAATGGAGACAAGCAGACTCAACAGTTATAACATGGATTCTAGAAAACATAGAATCGGATATTGTCAATCAATATATCGATTATCCTACTGCTTGGGATCTGTGGAAGGGAATCGAAGCCACCTACGGCTCCGGGAAAGATCCTTTGCAGGTATACAACTTGATGGTGAAAGCTAGCAGCATCAAACAAGGAGACCAGACACTAGAGAAGGTCTATAGTCAATTACAAGCTGTGTGGAAGGAAATCGACAGGAGGCGACCCAACCCGATGAAATGCCCAGAGGATATGACGATTTTCACACAAATTCAACAACAAAATCGTCTGTATCAATTTCTACAAGCCATAAACGAAGAGTTCGATGTAGAAAAACGTGATATTCTCAAAACAGATCCCCTCCCCTCCGTTGAAGAGGCATACGCCCAAATCAGGAGGGAGGCTACCAGGAAAGATATAATGAAGGGAGACGATGGGCCTTCATGGGGAGATGTTCCCTCAGGTCTTGGCAGTGGGTTCGCAGCCACACGGGCTGGATTGCGATCGGAAAAGGAGGTATCGTCATCTCGCATAAATGAGGACAAATCAAAATTGAAATGTACCTACTGTGGCGGAACCAAGCACACCGCAGAAGGGTGCTTCAAAAGGATCGGGTACCCAGATTGGTGGCCTGACAACCGAAAGAGGGGGAAGAAGCTGCCTGGGGTCACTGGGGCAGTGGTGGGCAATCAAGAGACCACCAGCACCACTGCCGTCCAAGCATCTGAAAACTTCGCCGGAATCACCATGGGTAACGTCGAAGAAGAGAGCAGCGGCGTAAGAAGGAGAGGCGAAGTGACGGGTAGAGTTTGGGGAGAGGGATTAAATACTCTTTCCAAATCAGGCCCAATAAATAGAATTTGGCCCAAATCCCCGCAAATTAAAAATAACCAGTGGATTTTTGACTGTGGGGCTACTGACACGATGTCCTTCGACCGTTCCGATTTTAATTCTCTAAATTGGCCCAAGAAAACCCATATCCAAACGGCCAATGTGGATTATTCTCGTGTCGAGGGCACTGGTCCAATATCTATCTCAAATTCTATCCGGCTGGAGAATTGCCTATTTGTTCCCACATTATCTCACAAATTGCTGTCAATAAGCCATGTCACAAAACAATTAAATTGCATGGTCCTAATGCACCCCACTTTTTGCTTATTACAGGATATTCAAATGGGGAAGATCATTGGGCGTGGATCTGAGCGTAATGGCTTGTACTATGTCGAGGAATTTGATCATTACGGAACAGCTACGCTTGCTCATGGGACAGTGGACAGGCAGGCATGGTTGTGGCATCGTCGTTTGGGACATCCATCTTGGGGGTATCTCAAAATTCTCTTTCCAAAATTATTCAATAAATCATGTCAGTTTCACTGCAACAGTTGTATTCTAGCCAAAAGTCATAAACATTCCTATCCGTTAAATAACACAGTTGCATCACAACCTTTCTCATTAATCCATTCTGATGTGTGGGGTCCATCTCCAGAACCGAGTCCAAATGGGTATCAATATTTTTTATTGTTTGTTGATGACTGTACCCGTATGACTTGGGTGTACTTTCTTAAACACAAATATGAAGTTTTTGAAAAGTTCACCTCATTTTACAAATTGATCAACACACAATACCAAAAACAGATCTGTATTCTTCGATCTGATAATGGAGGAGAATACATAAATCATCCCATGGAAAATTTCTGTAAGGAAAACGGTCTTATCCATCAAACCACTTGTCTTGATACTCCTCAACAAAATGGCATTGCTGAACGTAAGAATCAGATCATACTCGAAATCACTAGG